GGTTCCCCCTGGCTTCCAAAATTGACTTCCCAATTCACAGATGACAATTTCCCAGTTTGGAAGTCAGAATTCTAGATACTCAAAACTTGCTTCTCTTGAGTCCTTTAGACCAGGGGTTAAAAAGCCTTTCCTGAAAAACACCAGGCAGTAAATATTTTAGGTTTTGCAGGACATACAGTCTCTGCTACAGCTTCTCAACTCTGCCATTATAGCACAGAAGAAACCATAGATGAAGGACGTAGCCATGTTTCCATAAAACTTTATTTATAAAGACAGGTGGTGGGCCAGACTTGGCCCATGGGCTGTAATTTGCCAATCTTTGCCTTAGACAAATCTGGAAGAGTTTAGATCAACACTTGTAAAAACTCCCTGCCAAGTACAATCTGAATGTAACTACTAGTTTTGAGGTGCGTGTGTGGAAAATACTAATCTCTGAATAATTTTAAAAGTAAGTGTTGTCAGAATTGGCAACACTTGCTAAGGCTCCAGCTTAAAATTTCTGCCTTAGGCCCATAAGCACAGACATGTATGAGTTCCAACCCTACTGCTCCTGAGTGATGTGACCTGAGGGTAACCAAGGCAGTGTAGGATAGTGGTTAAGAGCAAGGAACCAAGGGTCTCAGGATTCTGACTCAATCTGCCACCTGCTAGATGGATGACCACGAACAATTGGCTTAGCCCTGTGCCTTACCTAGATACCTTGTCTATAAAATGCAGATAATAAATATTCTACCATAGCAGTGTGTTGCAAGTATAAAGTAAGACAGTATGTGTAAAGTATTTGGTATTTGTAAAGTACTTAGAAAATGTTAAGCACTCAAGTAGCTAGTTGCCATTTGATATTCAGTAAAGTTGGTAAAGCACTTAGCAGAGTTCCTAGGACGTAGTAAACTTTCAATGAATATTTCTTCTTCCCTTTTCGTAGGGAAGAGGGTCAGCGATGAGGGAATCTCTGGATGTGTACAAGGATTCTGCAGGTTTGTTTTTGGTTTTGTTTTTTTGTTGGAGTCTCATGGCCACCCCAGCATTGACCTGCTGGGCTCAGGTGATCCTTCCGCCTCAGTCTTCCAAGCTACTGGAACTACAGACGCGTGCTACCACGCCCGGCTAATTTTTTCATTTATTGTAGAGACAAGGTCTCACCAGTTTGCCCAGGCTGGTCTCAAACCCCTGGGCTCAAACAATCCTCTCGCCTTGGCCTCCCAAAGTGCTGGGATTACAGGCTTGAGCCACCATGCCCAGCCCCACTTTTTGTTTTTGTTTTTGTTTTTAGTTGGAGCCTCACTCCATCGCCCAAGCTGGAGTGCAGTGGCACACTCATGGCCACCTAAAATTTTTGTATTTATTCTTTTCTTCTTTGAGTTGGAGTCTCACTCCATCGCCCAGGCTGGAGTGCAGTGGCACACTCACGGCCGCCCCAGCATCAACCTGCTGGGCTCAGGCAATCCTTCTACCTCAGCCTTCCAAGTAGCCAGAACTACAAACACATGCTACCACACCCAGCTAATTTTTTATTTATTGTAGAGACGAGGTCTTGTCAAGTTGTCCGGGCTGGTCTCAAACCTGCAGGCTCAGACAATCCACTAGCCTTGGCCTCCCAAAGTGCTGAGAGTACAGACTGAGCCACCAAACCCGCCTTGCAGGTTTTGAAGGCTGAAATAAATCTTATGGCTGGTATGGAAAGGAACAGAAGATTCTCCAGGACTGTACTCTTAAAATGTGTGTGTGGCCGGGTACAGTGGCTCCTGCCTGTAATCCCAGCATTTTGGGTGGATGGATGGATGGATGGATGGAGAAATGGATGGGTGGGTGGGTGGACAGATGAATTGGAGTTCCCTAGACTTTCCAGGCATTGCTAATATCACGGGGACAGTCTTCCATGAAAACATACCCATTCTCCTCCCACTGTTGCCTCATTCAGTAATGAAGAAGAGCCTTTATATTCATTCAAGCAGTTTAAGAAGCTAAGTGAAGACCAGCAGATTGAGTTTGTCCTCTTTTAAATTTCTTTTTTAATATTTAATGTAAGTATTTATTATTTATTCTTTCCATTTCATAAAACAGTAATTCACATAACAGAAAACTTGAAAAATACAGGGAAAAAAAGAGGGGGGAAATTACCAAATTTACCTCCAAAACTTACCACTGAGTAAAGAAGTAAAATTTTACATAATAAAATGTATGCATTGTGACCTTGCTGTATTTCCTTGTGGGATTTTGTTTTTCTACATACAAATTTAAGAGATGTGTTTCCCCTGTAAAGTAAAAATTTAAGAGATGTATTTCCCCTGTAAAGTGAAAGATGAGAAAGAATATATATAATTTTTTCCCTACTTTTTTCCACCTAACCTGTTGAAATAAACCTTTTTCTTGTTAACCCAGTTATTGACCCTTGTGAGCATCATTTTTGACAGCTCCAGTGTTCTCTCAAGGGGATGAATATTTAGAATTTAATGAGTTCTCTAGTGTTGGAACATTTTAATGGCTTCCAATTATTCATGATTATAAATTATGCTGCAATGAAGGGATAATTTTCTCCCAATAACAGCTCCTCTCAAATCACTGACTTTTCAATGTGGGACACTGGGACGTAGAGTGAGTCTTAACTGGAGCAACAGACTTGCCACTCAAGGCATGGCTGCCAAGTCGCAGGAGGTGGCAGGGGGTAGGGAGAGGCAGAGTGGCAGAGGAGAGTGATTTTTTCTCATTTTAATTGTAAAGTACTTTGTCGTTAGATAAAATTTGGAAAATACATGAGTCCTAAGTGTGTCCCAGCTCCAGCCTTAATGAACATGCATATTTAGGTCTTCCTGGTCTCCAACCATCTGTACACACACAAAAAAACCTGGCCTCTTGCAAACTTCTCTCCCACTCCAGGTATTTCTGAAGTCTCCAAGTATTATCTCAAACCACTGCAGGTCTCCCCTTCTATCATCTTGGCTGCCGGATTTGTCACTGCGGCTAAAAGTTTCCCTGCCCCTGGTATTCTTCGCGGAAGGCTTGCATTTGGCCTCTGCTAAACCAAGGTTCCACGGAGACAGGGTGGTCAACTAGGGAGAAAAGAGAATGGGAATCGTTCACTCACTTCTGAGGTATATTAGGGATCCCACAGCAGGTTTGCTTGAGCCCCCAGATACTACCGGGCTGGGTGAGGTCGCCATTTACTTAGCACAGCTGGCCTTGTCTTGTTCACTGCTAGGCCTGGCAGGATGTCCAGCACAGGAGGTGTGTCCGGGCCATATGTGTGCATTGGTTAACTCAGTGGGTGAATGGCCCGTCTGGCAGGAAGGGCAGAGAGAACTCGGTGAGATCGCTGGCAAGGGCACTGGCCCAGGAGCACACGTGATGGGTGGTTGAATGGGAAAGAGCTTAAGTTCCCAGGTCTCTCAGTTTGCAAGAAAGAAGTCACCCTAGGCTTTCAGAAGCTAGAACATGTACCCTAGGTAAAAGGATGTTGGTTCCGCAAAGTAAGAAGAAACCCCTCAGCTGGGCTCGGTGGCTCAGCCTGTAATACCGCACCTTTGGGAGGCTGAGGTGAGTGGATTGCCTGAGCCCGCGGGTTCGAGACCCGCATGGGCAACTTGGCCAGACCGCATCTCTACAATAAATCAAAAAAAAAAACAAAAAACTAGCCGGGTGTGGTAGTGCGCGCCTGTAGTTCCAGCTACTTGGAAGGCTGAGGCAGAAGGGTCACTGGAACCCAGCAGGTCTAGGCTGCGGTGGCCAGGAGCGGCCACTGCACTCCAGTCTGGGTGACAGAGTGAGACTCCAACTCAAAAAAAAAGAAACCCCTCACACCTCAATGCAGTAGTTCCCAAACCTGGCTGCACAACAGAATTACCCAGAAGATCTTTTTAAAATTCCAAAGACAGCCAGGAGCTGTGGCTCACGCCTGTAATCCCAACATTTTGAAAGGCCAAGGCAGGAGGACCACTTGAGCTCAAGAGTTTGAGACCAGCCTGGGCAACATAGGGAAACGCCGACTCTACAAAAAATCAACCGGGTATGGTGGTGTGGTGGTGTGGGCCTTAGTCCCAGCTACTCAGGAGGCTGAGGTGGGAGGACCACTTGAGCCCAGGCGATCAAGGCTGTGGTGAGCCGTGATTGTGCCACTACACTCTAGCTTGCTTGACAGAATGAGACCCCCAGCTTTGAAAAAAAAATTCCAGAGTCCAGATCATACCCCAGACCAACTAAAGCCCTGTCCCTGGCTTCCCTGTCCCTCAGCTTCCAGGCAATTCCAACATGCAGACTCGCTCAATCCTCTGCCTGTCGTCACAGGCCTCACTTAGTGAAAATCTGTTGAACAACGAACGAATGATGTGTGAGCCTTCACATCTTCAGCAAAGGCTTGTGTGACCCTTTCCCACGTCTCAGGCTGTAGCCTTGCTACCCGGTCACATCTGTCCCCTATAAAATTAAAGATGACTTTTGAAATTCTCCTTTATTTTCTGGTAGTTTTTCTTGTTTCCGTTTTGACAACGAAATATTTAATTTCTCTAAATGAGAGAGTCTAGAAACATAAACTATTTTCCAAGTAAAAGTCCTGTCTACAGCCATACCACCCCGAAAGCACCCAGTCTCATCAAATAAAAGTCCTTTCCCAACTCATGTGAAGTGTCATCTCTGTCCCATAATGCCACATTCACGTCACTGAACACATATTTCTAACACACCTGCTCTGCGCCAAGCACTGCTACATGCTGAGGGTCCTGCCGTGGACAAGGGGGACACAGCCCTGCCCTGCTGGAGCCTTGGGCCACGAGAGGCAGAGAGGGAGTGGCCCCCCCGCACATACAGGATGTCAAAAACCTGTGGTCAGCGCTTTGCGAGCAGAGAGCAGGGTCCTGGGAAGACCTTGTTAGCTGGGGGTGGGGCATGTCAGGACAGGTGTCATTGCATATTGATGCATCCGATTGTTTAGCACCAACCCTCCCCGCCATGGTAACCTTTGTGCAGCCCAAGACCGCATCTGCGTGACACCCTTCCTGCCTTCGGGTTCAGTGCCACGGGCTCAGCCCTGCCAGGCGCTGGGTCGGATCCAGCTCACCTTCCACTGCAAGAGCACTCTGTTCCTCGGCCATTTCTGCCCTTGCCCCCTCCTCCAGGTGCCTCTGGCTCTTCGGGAAGCTGTTCACATCCTGCGCGAGTGAACAGCCAACCCCAGCAGCACTTGTCACCCAGGCACCCGTGGTCACGGCCAGAGCTACGCCCCCAAAGGCCCTCTGTACCCCTCCAGCCTTCCAGAAAGGGATGCATCTTGTGGCCACGACATTCTTGGCCATAGCCATGAAGCTAGAGTTGGCCTTGGCCATCGGGTAGGCACGAAGGTCCCTGCTGCCCTGGTGGCTCTTACTGACCTATCAGCACACAAGCCATCAGCCTCGACTTCGGATAACCTCTCTCCGAAAGTCTTGTGCTCTGATGTCACCATAGACACGTCTGCTGGCTTTGTCTCTTGCTGCTGAATTGCTTCTATTTTCTAAGGTGGGTGATGGCAGCAGCTGCCCAGCCCCACCCAGCTGTGGAGAGCCCTATCCCATGGGAGAGACGCCCTCCTGCCGTGGCAGATGCTAGAGCCAAACCCAGGACGCTCATGACTCCAAAAACAACCCCTGAGGAGCTGGCCACCAGGCTGGTCTCCATGAGCACGGTGTGGGTTGTGTCCACTTGGTCTGCAATGGCGTTACGTTCTTTGGAAGTGTTTTTTCCAGCTTAAACTTCTCCAAGGGAAAATATAAGAGAGACAGCTCTTCCTCCTCTGACAGATTTCCATCTGGCATGGTCTCTCTCGTGCAGCATCAGACCTTCAAGAAGAACATCGTACAGCACATCAGCCCGTTGTCAGATAACTAGCTTTCAACTCATGTGCAGGTTCACCAGGAGACTAAAATCGGCTAGGCGATCTGGATTCTCAAATGCATGCAGGAGGCAGGGCCCTGGAAATCAAGGTACTGTATGGAGCAGACAGGTGGACTGAGGGTCCATGCTGCAGCCAGAGCTCTGGGGGACCATGTGCTGACGGCCGGAGCACAGTCCCAGCAACTCCTGCGAGGCCTAACTGGATGACTCGAGCCATCACGGCTAACTCTCTTCCAATGCATGTGGATACTGATGTGATGAGCAAAGTGCAATTCCAAAGCCCTGCTGGCTTCTGTCACCAAGACTTTCCTTAGTAAACATATACATTCATTTATAATATATACATGTGTGACAAGTGGCTGGCCGGGTGCGGTGGCTCACGCCTATAATCCCAGCGCTTTGGGAGGCCGAGGTGAGAGGATTACCTGAGCCCAGGGATTCGTGACCAGCCTGGGCAACTTGGTGAGACCTCATCTCTACAATACATCAAAAAATTAGCTGGGCATGGTGGCGTGTGCCTGTATTTGGAAGGCTGTGCCTGTATTTGGAAGCTACTTGGAGGGTTGAGGTAGAAGGATCGCCTGAGCCCGTAGGTTGAGGCTGCAGTGACCGTGAGCACCCCACTGCACTCCAGCCTGGGTGACAGAGTGAGACTCCAACTCTGAAAAACCAAATGAACAAAAAAACAAGTGGTAGGAACGTCTATTAAGGAACACAAACGTGCTGAGAGCATGAAGAAAATGCCTTGATTTTCTTTCTTTTTTTCTTTTTTTTTTTTTTTTTGAGTTAGAGTCTCACTCTGTCACCCAGACTGGAGT